CGGTCCGTAGGATAGTGTCTAACTCTAATATCTCCGCCGAAAGGATTTTTACATTTCTAAATGTCGAGATACCTTAGACACATGTTTAATTAGCTATACTCTCTGTGAATATTGAGGTTTATTGACCACGATTAGTCAATATATTAGAATATATGCGCACTATGTAATTACAGGATGATTTAATGTCGAAACGCACCCGACTCAGAACCCCTACCGCGCGCGCCTGTACTGTGAATGTAATTACTGGCCGCAATTTACGAGTGGTACATGTATGCCATTGTATACAGGCCGGGCGCGGTAGGGGGTTCGGATTTGGGTGGTTCAAACATTTATATCTTAATTCAACTTCTAATGAATATCTGATGGGCACCCTCTAATAGTGAATCAATAATATAGTTGACTGCCCATAAGCCACTTTGCATAACGTTTGAGACTTTTGTCACCTGTAAAAACGATTCGCCTATGTTGCAACCTAAGGTGACCTGACGTCTGCAGGGTTGTGAGAGTAACGATGTGACGATCAGCGCCTCTAGCGGCAATCTTCTTGTGCACGGCATAGCCCTTGGTGGTCTTATTCACTGCCCCAAACGGAAATTTTGTCGCCAAAACGCCACCCAGCTGCGAAAATCACGTGTTGCTTCCATCAATAAACTACAACTAATATTGAACTTGAAATCGAATGTTAGACTCTTAGAGATGCACAAAATTTTACATCAGAAAATTTTGCACATGCCGACACCTGTTCAGAATTATCTTTGCAAAAGAACGCCTGTGCGTGGCCGCGATCGTTTCCGTATCGAGAGCAACGACAATGACAACGCACGCACGAACCAACCGGCAAGGTTTTTCTGCCCGCTTTCAGGCGAACACCTACGAGAAGTACTGGCCGTTCTACCAGCAGTACGGCGGCAAGCCGTTCCCGGCCGAGCATCTGACAGATAATGCTTAACGGCGGAGATCGAGGAGTTCTGCAGCATTCTGCGCCACGAAGGCGTTGTCGTACGCCGGGCCCGAACCCACGATCGGGACTGCAGCAGCATACGAGGACGACCGACATTCAGATCGCGCAGTAGGTGGCGACACCGCTGCCGAGGGCGGCCAGGTGGTGGGCTGGGGAGAGGTGGGGCGGTTACTTAGAGGTAGGGCCGCGGCAACTTTATGGCGATGGTAGAGTCTTTTGTAGCCTTTAAGCGACGGGGTAATTAGGTAGATTTAGGGCCGCGGGTAGCCTTAGGTAACTTTAGGGCGACGGTATAGCTTAGTAGACATAGGGCGACGGTTAGCCTTAGATGTAGCTTAGGGTGACGGGTAGGCTTAGTAACTTTAGGGCGACGGTAGCTTAGGTAGCTTTAGAACGTTGACGGAGTTAGTGCTTAGGTAGACTTAATAGGGCGACGGTAGCTTTAGGTAGACTTTAGCGCACGTAGCCCCACACCCCCCTAGGTAGACTTTAGGGCGGCCGGTTAGCTTAAGAGTATACTTTAGGCGATGTAGCTTAGGTTGACATAACGGCAGAGAGTAACTTGGGTAGACTTGATAGGTAGGACAGGACGGTGTGACGGTAAGTCTAGCTTAGGTAGACTTTAGGGGCGCGGTAGCTAGGTAGACTAGAGGCGGACGGTAGCTTAGGTAGACGATAGAGCGACGATTTTTAAGCCTCCTAGGTAGACTGCTACGGGCGCGGGGCTTAGTCGTAGACGTAATAGACAGCGACGGTGCTTAGGTAGACTTACCTAGGGGCGACGCGTGCTTAGCGTAGACTTTCTAGGCGACGGTAGCTTAGGTAGACTTTTAGTGGCGACGCGTTAGCTTAGGTAGACTTTAGAGGCAACGGTGCTTAGGTAGACTGTATATGGCGACGTTAGCCTTAGGTAGACTTGGAGAGGCGACGTAGCCTTAGGATAGACTTTAGAGAGACGAATAACTTAAGGATTGACGTTAGTGACCGATACTTAGCGATTACTTATAGGGGGGGCGTAGACGATAACTATAGGTAGACTTTTAGTGTGGACGATAACTTGGTCAGACTTATAGGGGTGCACCTGGTGAGACTTTAGGGCGACGGTATAAGACCTTAGTAGACTATATAGCGACGTAGCTTAGCGTAGCCTTTTAGGGCGATGATAACTTAGGTAGACTTAGCGGGACGATAACTGTAGGTTGACTTAGCTAGGCCTCGAAATAACAGGTGACTTTAGACCGGTGACGCATAATTGAGGTAGACTTTAGGTGACGAAACTTTTAGGTAACTTTAGTATAGGGGTGACGATAAACATTAGGTTGACTTTAGGGCGACGGTAGCTTAGTAGACTTATGGGGCACGCGTAGCTTAGGTAGACTTTAGGGGACGTGATTAGGTAGACTTATAGGCGACGGTAGCTTAGTAGCTTCTACGGCGACGTTTTAAGCCTAGTAGACTTTATAGCGCGACGGTAGCTTATCGTATACTTTGACGGCGACGGTAGCTTAGGCTTACTTTATAGCGGTGACGAAACTTAGGTGACTTATAGGGCGGACGATAAACTTAGCGTAGACTTTAGGTGACGATAACTTCGGTAGACTTGTTACGAAGTTAGAATTTTTAGTTATTAGAATTTTAATAAGAAGTTCTAAAGAATTGTTTAGAAGTTATACGTCAAGACCAGACCAATACTGTCGAGACTAATTTCATCTACGGCGATGCCGTTAGGTCTCTACTCTGCGATGCCGAGGGACATCCTCCTCGTCGTCGGCAAGGAGATCATCGAGAGTCCGATGGCGTGGCGCTCACGCTTCTTCGAGTATCGCGCCTACCGCAACCTCATCAAGAGTACTCTCGAAGGGTGCCAAGTGGACGACGGCGCCAAGCCGCAGATGAGCGACGACCTGTACGACTGCGTATGTATTGTACGACGGACCCCCAAGCTATTGTTCTGATGTTTGTACGTGCGACCCGGTGGCGTGTATTTTTTACCGTACGCTAATGCGTAAAAATCGCCACCACACCATAGCACGGATATTTGGTACTATTGACACCGTATATAAAGATAGCCGAGTCGCGTTTAGAGTTAGTGTATAGGGTTAAGGGTTAAGTGACTGTTTGGTACTTTTTTAGGAAATAGGTGACTGATTTGATACTTGTGTGTGGCTGCAGCGCATGCGTTTACGCATTAGCGGTACGAGAAAAATAGAGGCGACCCGGTGCATGCGCAGCGACGGACACGGCACACTGTTACCTGTACGACAGGCGCTCCTGCATGCCTGAGCTAAGCTACTGTTATCTGTACGTACCACCCAGAGCTACTGTTCCGATGTTTGTACGCGCGAGCGCGCGTGGCGACGGACACGGGGAGCGAGGCTGCTCTGCTGTTTGTATATATGGCCGCGAGCGCGTAGCGACGGAGCGGCGCTGTTATGTTGTTTGTATGAGATGCGGGGCAAGCTGCTCCCCTAACCCTGATCCCAACCTTAACCCCAACCTCGACCCTAACCCCTAACACCAACCCCAACCCCAACAAGTGTTGCGCGCCGCTGTGTATTTTGTTACCGCATCGTAAAATGTAAAAACGTGCTTTCCGTGGAGGCACGCGCTTTGCGTGTTGCGCCTAGCGAAAGCGTCAAAAGAGTTAATAAGCATATGCCGACGATTTCATCCAAGGGTGCCATAAGTGTTTTTGCATCAGCGTGTGTAAGTTCGTCAGCGTGCGTAGCATTTATTGCACCGTTAAACTGTTGCATGGTGTAAAACTGTTGTAAAACCGTTAAACTGTTATACTGCCGTCGAGTTCGAACCTTCCCCGAGCGGACGGAAAGGTTTATAAAACGTGCCATAAATAGTGATGGGTACCGCCAAAATGTTTGTATTGCGATATATTATCTGTTGCTGCTATCAAGAAAAGCAGTGTAAAATATATAAATCATATAAATATTTTTGTGTTAAATAGATAAAAATAGAAAATATACACTCTGAATGTACGTCACACAGCCATTGGCCCTCTGAATGTACGTCACACAGCCATTAGGTTCTCATGAATGTCACACAGCACATGGACCCTCTGAATGTACGTCAACACCAGACCATCTGGGCTCGAATGTCACACAAAGGTCCGTCAGATACCTAGTTTATAAACCCATGATTTTTTAAAGCCAAATACTTTCTTCAATTGTGACAGAATATTCTGATTTGGTTTGGACAGTGGAAGCTGTTAGAGATGGACCCTACAACATAGTTCTGTATACAATTCCATTCAACTGTGGGTTTCTCGCCTTCTCTCTGTGAAATGTTATGCGATCCTCACTTTAACACCCGGTGCCATTATGTGTGTATCAGGAGCTCGAATAACGCGACGAGAAGGGCAAGGCAACTTTTCTTAGCATGTGAGAAATCTCGCCTCTAAATTTTTCTTTAAAGATGGAAGGACAGAAGCGCCATATTTAAAACGGCACAAAGGAAAACTCTAAAATGTTGAGAGAGCCGACAGCCCAACTTTTTGTAAAATAAAGGAAAACTCATAAACAAATTAGTACATCAATATCGTCTGCCTTTTAAGTGTACAAAAACACAATATTCCCCCCCATAGTAAGCTTACACCGTAACACCGCCGCCTATTCCCCCTTCTGTAATTGAAGTCAGTAACAAGACAATTTTTACATGCGCGCTAACAGGAGCGAATAATATTTGCATGCCCGGTTATTATTCCCTTCCTGCGACTATCGGTTTTATAGGCTCATCATTGCAACTACAGCACGCACGCGTTAAGTGTTATGGTTGACTCACTAAAAACGAAACTAGGCAGTAGATTAAGGACGACCGACGGCCAACTTACACAAAAGGCAAGGCAGGTGACTGCCGTCGAGTCGGGTTGGGAGTTTCAGGCAGTACGAGCCCAATTGATAGCGGCACCGACGGCAATGACCCGTCGCGTGGCCGTCGGTTCATTTCGAGCCCTTGTCCCTGTGTCTCTGTGTGTGTGTCTGTGTGCTCTGTCTGTGTGTCTCTGTCGTGATAGTGTCTGTGGTGGTCTGGTGAGTGTCTGATGTGTGTGTGGTCTGTGTGTCTGTGTGTGTCTCTGTGCTGTGGTGTGTCTGTGTCTAGTGTCTGTGTGTGCAGTGCTGTGCGAATGCGTGCGTGCGTGCGTGGCCGATCCTACGGCCCACAGTGCGCATGCGTGCGTGCTAATACACCGTGCGTCGCGTGCGTTGTGTGTGCATCTGTGTGTGTGCATGTGTGTGTGTGCGTGTGTGTGTGCGTGTGTGTGTGTGTGTGAGAATCGGTACGGCGAGAATTTGTACCACGATATACCGCTAATATGCGGTACGCGGCTATCTCGCGCGTAAATGTACAACGGCACGCGCCAAACGTGAACGGTAACCGCACGCGCCAAACGTGAACAGTAACCAGGGTGTTAACCAGAAAAAAACTGGGAGTCTCACCATCTGAGCGAAGCGAGGATGCTGCGAGCGCAAAGCGCCCTAGGGGGAAAAACTGACGATTTTATTTTCATGCAGGGGTAAAATGGGGCCGCCCTCATGCCGTCTCTATCAAATTTCATCCGTCTCATCCAAGAATAGGCCGTCTAAGACAGGTAGGCGGGTCTCTGGCTAACACACTGACAGTAACTGCACGCGCTGAACGTTTCTGTCGTCGCAGGATTACCCGATGAAGTCTGTCGCCGACAGACATTTGCTGGCGGAACAGGGCAAGTTTGTGACGACGGAGTTTGAACCGTGCTTCGATGCAGCCGACTTCATCAGGGCCGGGCGCGACATCTTCGCTCAGAGAAGCCAGGTATAGTTACTACCGACACACGGAGTTAAGCCGGGTTTACGCTATCGACTTTCAGTTGGAAAGTTGACAGGTTGATCAACTTTTCAACTGATCGATCGATAGTCAACAGTGTAAATGCAGTTGATGTCAACTCGTAGAGAGATTAGAACAATTCTATTTTCTCTACTGTTGGTCAGCGAGTTGATCAACTTTTCAACCAATCGACTGAAGGTCTACAGTGTAAGTGTGAAAGTTGAACGCTCAACTAGTCGAGAGATTAGAACACGTTTCTATTTTCTTAACTGTTGGTCAAGCGAGTTGATAAACTTTTTGCCATGCAGCCACTCAGATAATAGCAGTCAGGAGGTTTAATCTCATTGTGGGTGTTTTCTTTTTTCTTTTTCTTTGTCTTTTTACCAGATCTGATATACTCTATATGCTCGTCCACTGCTTCAAAGCTTCTTTTGCTATACACTGTCGCTGTTAATGTTGCAAAGCAGTGTGTTTCAAATCAATATGCTCTGTATACCAATTACAAGGCTGTATTATGCACAGCCATATAACAAATATATGTAAGCCCAAATATAAGTAGAAATTTATACAACAGCTTTTTTTACATGAGCTGCATGGGGCCCATTGTCAAAAGCTCACATGAGTATTAACTTTACCTTTATCTCATAGACGATTGACAGAAACATGATAACTTTACCTTTATCTCATAGACGATTGACAGAAACATGATAACTTTACCTTTATCTCATAGACGATTGACAGAAACATGATAACTTTACCTTTATCTCATAGACAATTGACAGAAACATGATAAAGTTACAAGTTTTTCACATGCAGCCTATAGAGGTCTGATCTACGGGGGGAAAAAAAGTCATAAATGTTACGACTAATTTTGTTTCTGTCGACGCGCATCTTCTTTTGAAAGTAAAGACGCCGCATTTCCACATTTCCATGTTACGATAATCCACAATCTATATTCACGGAGATACGTACGTGGCGACGGCATTTGCCAGGGGCCGGATTCGAAAAAGAAATGCGTACGATCATGTGCGTACGCACAAAATCTAGAACACCTCGCGCACAATGTAAGTTGGCATTGTGCCTGGGGTGTACTGTACGTACGTACGCACGCACATGTTACTGAATCCAGACTAAAGCAGCGTTGGCATATCAATAATCCATGAAAAGTGGGCGGAGCTTACTTTGAGCCAGCGGCGGCGAACCTTGCATTGTCTCGGCCAGGGTCTGTCTAACTCTTCCGTCTTTTTGGTCGCGTCGCAGGTGACGAACTTCATGGGAATCGAGTGGTTGCGCCGCCACCTGGCGCCGACCTACCGCGTGCACACGATCTCGTTCAAGGACCCGAATCCGATGCATATTGACGCGACGTTCAACATCATCGGTCCCGGTCTCGTCATCTCGAACCCCGACCGCCCGTGCAAAGGGCTACAGAGACAGCGCGATGAGATGTGTGCGGAAGAGAGCCGAGGCTGAGAAAGATTCTCACACACGCCGAAACCCATTGATGCGGATGGTGAGAGAGAGAGGGGAGGAAGGAGAGGGAGGGAGGGAGCGGAGAGCGAAGGGTGAGGGACACGGGAAGAAGGGGTCGAGGGAAGGAGAGGAGAGAGGGGGAGCGAGGAGGGGGAAGGGGAGATACAGCAGAGAGAGAGAAGATCGAGAATGTGTCGGCAAGAGAGCGCGCAATGGAAGATTGCTTCCACACCGCCCTCAGAGACCCTGTTGATGCTGTCGAATTCTCAAGCGAGCACAGGAGGAAGGGGAGGAAGGGACAGGGAGATAGGAGGCGGAGAGGCGGATACAGAGAGAGCAAAGAGACGACGAGACGGGGATAAAATGAGAGTCTCAGCAGATGGTAACCAGGGAGTGAGGGTAGGGAGAGGAGGAGGGAGCAGGGAGAGGGGGAGGCGAGGGAGAGGGAGAGGGAGCTGGGAAGATTCTCACACCGCCGAAACCTTGATGCCGGATAGCTGAGTAGAGACGAGGGGGAGGAAGGTAGATCGAGGCGGAGGGAGGGAGGGAGCAGTGAGGAGGGGAGGATACAAAGATGAAGAGACGAGACGGGGAGCAGGGAGGAAAGCAGCAACGAGTAGAGAGGAGGGAGGGAGCATGTTTCGGGGAAGGAGAGCGGCTGGAAAGATTCTCACCACCGCCGAAACCATGCATGCCGCGATGCGGTGAAGGAGGAGAGAAGGGGGGAGGAGAGAGGAGCGGAGAAGGAGAGGAGGAGGGCAGGAGCGACCAGCGGCAAGAGGAGGGAGATGGGGAGAGGGAGATGTTCGAGAGAGCGGCTGGAGATTCTCACACCCGCCTCGAAAGCCAAGTGGAGTGCCGCGGATGTGAGAGAGAGAGGCTGGAGGGAAGGCGACGGCAGGAGGGAGAGTAGTGTTGGACAGGGAGAGAGGGAATACGAGAGAAAGGAGGTACGAGGGAGGGGATAGTCAAGGCAACTAGAGGGCAACAGCGAGAGGAGGGGCACTGCGACGATTCTCAGCACCGCGCGGGAAACCCGAGATTGAGATGGGCGGGATGGTGCAGGGAGAGAAGAGCGCGGGAGGAAGGGGATAGAAAGAGAGAGGTGTAAGAAGAGAGAGACGCCCAGAGGAAAGAGGTAGAGAGAGAAGAGAGAGAGAGCGAGGAGCCGAGAGAGGGAGGGAGGGACCGGAGAGCGCGGGAGAGAGCAAAGAGAGACGAGGCAAGAGGAAGAGGGGGAGGGAGAAAGAAGGAAGAGAGAGAGGGAGAGAGGAAGGGCAATGAGAGAGAGAAGGGAGCGGAGAAGCGGAGAGGAGGAGGAGAGGAGGAGAGGGAAGAATGTTCGGAGATGAAGCCGGCTGGAGATTCTCAAAACTGCCAAACCATGATGCCAGACTGGTGAGGGAGGAGCAGGGAGGGAGAGGAGGAGGGTGGAGGGAGGCGGAAAGGGGGGGGGGGGAAGGACGGGCAGAGGAGGGAGGAAGAAGGAGGAAGGCGCGGAGGGAGATGTTCCGGCCGACGAGTCCGGCTGGCAAGATATCAGCACCCCGCAAACCCATGATGCGGATTGGTGAGAGAGAGCAGGGGGGAGGAGGCTAAGGGAGGGAGCACGGGGGGGAGGAGGAAAGGAGGGAGAGGAGGAGGGAGGAGGTGAGAGGAGGAAGGGGAGTGAGGGAGGAGGCGAGAGGTGAGGGAGATGTCTCGAGGAGAGCCCGGCTGGAAGATTCTCACACTTGCCGAAACCCCATGATGGCGGATGGTGAGAGAGAGGAGGGGAGGAGAAGGGAGGGAGGGGCAGGAGGAGAGAGAGAGAGAGAGAGGGGAGAGGAGGGAGAGGAGGAGGGAGAGAGGGCAGAGAGGGAGAGGGGGAGGCGAAGCGAGGGAGGAGATGAGAGAGAGAGAGAGTCGGGGAGGAAGCGAAAGGGGAGGCAGTGAGGCAGAAGATGGCGTGCAACGTTCGGAGAGTGAGAGTGCGGATGCGCGCGTACGGCAGATCACTATTCCTGCTCCCCTGATAACCTACCTTCTTAAGTATATTGTGAGACAAAAGCCGTGAGTCGCAACTTAAATCATGATTTTACACGTCAACTTCCTCGCTCTTTAACTTCTTCACCACTCACACACCTACCCACATAGATGGTCTCACACACGCCCCCTGAGTCTACAGTCTCACAACACTAACCCCTGTACCTCACACTACGACCCACTTGATGTCTCACACACGCCCCTGATTCTCACACACGCCCCTGATTCTCACACACGCCCCTGATTCTTTCTTCTTCCTCCCCGCAGAGCACCCGCTGTGGATGTCGTCCAAGTGGCTGTCGATGAACGTTCTCATGTTGGACGAGAAGCGAGTCGTCGTCGAGGCGCAGGAGACGAGCACGCAGCAGTTCTTCCGCGAGCACGGACTCACGCCGGTCCCCGTCAGCCTCCGACACGCAAACTCGCTCGGCGGCGGCGCCCACTGCTGGACGTGCGACGTGCGTCGCCGCGGCAACCTCGAGTCTTACTTCTAAGGTCGCCGTGGCAACCTCGAATCTTGCTTCTAAGGTTGTTGGGTCGCCACAGAGCTAATTCTAAGGTCGTGGCGTCACCGTCGAGTCTTTCTTCTAAGGTCGTGGGGTCACACTTGAGTCTTACTTCTAAGGTCGAGTCTTACTTCTAAGGTAGTGGGGTTGTGGGGTCACACTTGAGTCTTACTTTTAAGGTAGCGGGGTCGCAGTGTCACACCTAATTCTTACTTTTAAGGTAGTGGTGTCGTGGGGTCACATTTGAGTCGTACTTCTAAGGTCGCAGTGTCACACTTGAGTTTCACTTCTAAGGTAGTGGGGTCGCAGTGTCACACTTGAGTCTTACTTCTAAGGTTCTAAGGTAGTGGGGTAGTGGGATCACACTTAAGTCTTATTATCAAGGTCGCAAGGTCACCCTGTGGTCACATCCGTGAGACACATGGGTTACAGGGTTTCCTGAGACATGCGTCATACAGGTCCTTGAGACACATGAGTTACAGGGACTCCTGATATGCATTGGATATAGGAATTCCTGAGAGATATGGGTTATCCCCCCCTCAAGGCACGTGGGTCAAAGCCTCCCTGAGACGCATGGGTTATAGGGTTCTCTAAGAAGCATGTACGTTTTCGTGTGAACTTCTTACAATTTCCTAGTTGCATTTTTCATGTTTACTACTTACGGGCGTTGCGGATGCGAGAAGAGGTTGTGGGTAAAAAGTATTCACTTGGTCAGTGTCTAGAGAGATTTCCGGTCCTTTTGGCAGATCGATTGAGGAATTATTGTTCTGGGATGTTTTGTTCGGTGTAAGTTTACAGTTTTATTGCATTTTATGCAATAGCAATAACAGAGTTGGTGTGCGCAAGGTGATTATAGGGATATCGTTTTTATTTCTCCACGATGCGTAGGAGGTTCTCCCTCCGTATGGAACACCTTCCAGAAGAGCAGATGTTAATTTGTGCTTCATAGACATTTTCAACTATGTGCACAGTGCTCTGGCCACCTATCCCATAAACATGCACAACTGCCAAATGTAATGTAATCGATCTATCTATGTAAACACCTAAATGCTATACCGTTGTAAACGTCACAATGATATTGCTATGAATTGTACACTAATCTTGTATGAGGGATGTTATTTGCACACTGATTGTACACTCACTGTGTGAGTGTTTGTGTGTGCTCGCGCTCTCTTAAAGATAAGCATGCATGCATAGTTACAGTTCGTCCGTTCACGGTTGGTGGTGACCAAGTAAATGCCAAGTGACAACTTTACTAGGACCTCATTCATAACTTGCCAGGCGTTTGAAACTTCAGTTGGTGTCTTCCGACAAACAAAAACACTGATTGGACTTTGGTGCGCAAAGCGAGCTTTTACAGTGTTTTTCTCGCGTTGACTTCTATAGGCATTCCAAGATTCAGGTTTTAGTAGATGGCGTTTCTTCGCCACTCAAAGATGAATTCGGGATCAATTTATTGTCAGTGTTACGAAGTTGTTGTGAATCGAATGTACTGTTATCATTATGAAGCCCATTTATATGCACAACATCTATTGTGATTGCTTGGCTAAAGCTCGCGTCGTTGTATGCCCATCGATGGCATGCTGGATAAAATACTGTGCAGGGCTGAATAGTACTGGTGGAACCTACACCTTGATGTTACCGCATGTATTTTTTAAGTTACCGTATTGTATGGAACCGCCTGGTGTAGCCAAAGTGATAAAGCACATAACGTAGAACTATCTCTCTCTATATACTTACGTTGGACTCGCAACTGGTCACAATTCGGTGACCTGGTACGGAACGAACGTATTTATTTAACGGTAATGATGTCGTCAGATAGATCGTAGATTTGTCGACTTGACTGTTATGGGAAAGCTGACAAGTAGAGAGACGCGTATGTAATTAAATGCCTGTCATGTTTATTCGGAGAATGCGATAAAAGAGTATGTCTCAACGAGAACACACCGTGACTCTGGGAGCTTTCTTTTTTGTTTGTCGGCTTTGGAAGCCAGTTGGTTTATGATAGAACCAGTTTACGTAGTAGCAAGGGCCATTATAGTTTACGAGTCTGTTATGGGCCCTTGATGGTTTTATCTCCCGTTCTCTAATTAAGAGCTGCAGCTAGGCTGTTCGCCGTATCTATATAAATTTTTTCTCTGTGTCTTTAACAGTCGGAATACCTGAGTAATTGTTACTATCCAAGCAGCTATTATAAGCATTGCATGGTGATCTAGGTTATGCGATTGCAGTTCCACTACTAATGAAAGCACGGCCGTGAGCGTTATATAGTAGCATGTAAAACTCAGCAATACATATAAACATGTGCAAAACAAAA